GTCCGAGCGTGGGAGGGGGGCAATTAAGAGTGTGTGTGTTTTTCTTAGAGCAAGCCCACATCAGGCTATCTGCTGTGTTTATGAAACTGCTGTCTTTATGAAAACAATTTCAGTGGGAAATTTGAAAACATGGGGTTTACAAAAAATATTCTAAACCTCAACTGTCAGATAAATTTCAATGATCAACAAATATATCACTTAAAAAGTAGTTTATAAGGAAATCTTCATATTTTAAACCTTTATTTCTCAAAACTTCTTGAACCTAGAGAAACAACACTGCAGCAAAGATACATTAAGTTTGGATTTCGCGCAAACTTACACGAGGGCTATCTGCGCTAGCCGTCCCTAATTTAACTTTGGTACTCAACACACCCATTGTTAACTCTGTTACCAACGTATATAGTAGGATTGACCATCACATTATAAAGTCTCCATGGCTGAAAGGGCGACCATATGCGGTAACGGGGATCCGAACCTACGACCCACAGATTGAGAGTCGAGCGCCTTAACCGCCAGACCATACCAGGCCTGGCTCATTAAGAATAATAGATTTTATTAATAAAAATCTAGATGTGTTACACGGTATTTTATAACCATGCTATGCTATAGATTTAAATCGCTTTTCTCCCAAACTAGTATTTATATTATTTTTATAAAATACGTGTCAGTGTGCAAGATACTGCGAGGATCAATGAAAACTCTCCAGAAAGATGATGCTTGCAGCAACTTGATTTAAGGGTATGCTGATTGAGAATAATGAAAAGTTTATTGAACATCTACTGTGACAACTTTTGAACATCATGTACCCTTTTAAAATTTACTTAGATAAGAATTTCGATTCTCGATGTCCCTCTAGTGAAAGATATAATCGTCACCTTTATAATTATTCTGTGATAATAATAAAGAACAACATTTAAACTACGTTTTGAATCCTTAAAGGAGCGGGTGACATTTTATTTTGGGCAGAACTGTTACAGATGAATAAATAAATTTGAGAAATAAACCTAAAGTCAAGCTCAACTAATACTAAAATATAGACCAAAATACACTATCATTTTTTCTGCAGATTATGACCTTGAGTTCTGGAACATTTTATCCAGGTTCAATATGTGTACATTATTTTTGTACTTACCCTCTTTATGAGCTGGAATCCTTCCATCAGTTCCCAGTAGCAACACGCCGGCCCTTTTGGTCACTCTGTTAAATGTAATGATATAATGTTACATCCCCTATAGGATTTTACTTAATACTTACAAGCTTCTACTTGTATAGCACTAATAATAATAATGAAACAAGCATCGACAAAATAGTATTTTATGTACAACATTAGACAATAGCCACGACTTTTGAACTCTTGGATGAACTAAACACAAGTATTTTTACAAAGCTAATAAAAACCAAATGATCAGTTTCAGTTTGGTTGCATCTTATTTTATTTAACGATGTGACTCATTTCTAGTTGCAAGTAGAATGTTTCACAAAGTAAAATCTGTGATTATGTAACCAGTGAATATTAGTATGACACGTACTTATAGACGTGTGTGTGTTTAATAAGAATGTTTAGTTTACCTGCTAGAAACCCCGGGAACCATTGTTAAGATAATTCCAGAATTATCGGTGCCGCCATCTATAGAGAAATAGCAGAAGTTTTGTATGTTCAGCAAGAAAATTAATAAATAAGAAAAACAGTATAAAAAACATGTCTGCTCGGTTTACTTCTTTTTGATAACGAGTAATAAGACGTCCCCAGAAATAATCAAATTTAGCGTATACTGTATACATTAAAGTTGTTTACTGTTTCACATTGTTGTGCCAAATTAACACGTAACGTATAATAGCCCTTCTGTACATTTGCTATATTTCATGAAACTAAGCCTCTTTATGTGTAAAGTTTTCTCTTAGAAATTCGATCACATTCTGGTTTACTATTAGTTCATCAAACAAAATAACTTAATATGTTTCTCAATCTGCATAGCTGTTGTAATAACGGTTCGAATTTTACTTTTTGGTTTTATCAACACGTCTGATATATTAACCAGTCTCAATTACTACACATGTAAAGTACAGCTCGTCAGTAAACAGTTTTAGTGCGATTTCAGCATAGGAACGTTTCACACTACTTTATGAACATAAGCAAAAAAACACTCACCAATAAACTTGTCCACATTGGCGTAATGTACCTGCAATATTAAGTAATTGATTCCCACGTCTCTTCCTCCCACCTTGAAGCCAACACCTGAAAAACGTACAACAGGCATAAGAAGAAGCAATAATGGACGGTCAAGGTCGACTAAAACATACTTTGAAAATATGTCGGTTGCGTCACAAATAAACAGTTTGTTGTATGCTTGTTCGCAATCCTGATAAAAGTCAATCTTAGATGGGTCTGTAGACACGCCCTCTATGCTGATTATGTGTTCCATTAAACTCACCTGTTGAAGAGACAATTCACATTTCTTGGAATTTAGCTTGAGATTTTCTTCATTCAACCAATCCAGAATTTTCTTTAGTTCACCATGATCATTTTCAAAAGCCTTCCCGTGTGAGATTATGCATTCAAGTAGATACGTACGACATTTCAGGGTAGTTCAGTAAGACCACACCCCATTACGTGTTGAAATGTAGCAGATGCATTACATAATTCAAATGGTAAAACAACAGATTGCCGCAACATTTTCCTGTAGTAAAAGTTGGCTTCACTGTACTTGCTTCATCAACTTGTACTTGCTAATATCCACTCATAAGATCCAATACTAACACCATTTCGATATGGATAAATCGTACAAAGTAAAGCCATTCGTTGGTAATGGATAGGAATCTTTCTTTGTGTTTCCATTCAGATCCTTGTGGACCCATCCTTCTTCTTCTCAAATACAAGGACTAGAAACTAGGTCATATCGCTCCCTGTTCCTTCGTGTCATCTACTTCTTTGAAAGCCTCAGCCTGTTTTGCAAGTGGGAATCATTTGATTAAGTGATGTAATGGGGCTGCTCTCAAGTATCAATATATATGAGGTATTTTATTTGTTAAGCCTTAGTCATGAGGCCCATCGGAGAGATAGTCATGTAACTTATAGCAGTGTTTCCCAAAGTGGAGGCCGCGGTCCCCTTGGGGGTCATGAAGCTATTTCAGGGGGACCGCCAAAAAATGGGCCAAAAACAAAGATGCTGAATTCATTCTAATTCTAAATAACCAATAAGCCGATAAAAATTATGTTGAATTAATTAAATGATACAGTATGTTGAAAGGAGATGTTATTATTTTTACTACGGCACTGTTTTTCAATCATCATGCTAAAGTAGTGTGTGTGTTCGGGGGGGGGCAACCACTGGTCGATCGCGAGACTCGAGAGAGCCCTAACTGATTGTGTAAGCGTAAGACAGTTAGTCTACATTTGCTATACTTTTCGTAAAATGTTAATAACAGTGGTGAAAGTAGGCCGGTACGGCGTACCAATATGGAACGTTTAGAATTTTATTATTATTTTTTTCAATTACCAAAACGTCCAATGCGCCACACAAAACAAATCTCCAGTTGTTTTGTTTCGATAGATCTGCAAACATACAATTTAATAGAAAAAGTACTTCATAGATATCATTAATGTTCATTAGTAATTATTTTTTGAAATTGATAAATCACATTTTAAGGCATTTTCATTCACATCAAGAGAGCCTCAAACTAAAAGAGTTTGGGAACCACTGGTCAGCTGTATGACCTCAACAGCTCTTGTGACTTCTTACATAAAATATGGAGACAGCTTGAATTGGTAGTGAAAGAAACTTTGTTATAATTGTACAACATTTCGACGAGATCGGGTACCTGATCGTGACAAAAGCCTGTCGAAACGTTATAAATTTGTAATAAAGTTTCTTTCACTACTCATTCAAGCTGTCTTCATACTTTATTCTCAAAAAAATGGGTTCCTCGTCATCAAATTATGATGTTCTTTGATGCAAAATTCTACCTATACAGCCTCACATCTTGCAATGTCTCCTCCAGACTTGACTCGAACTTTATGATTTGTTGTGTTTATGACCCTAATGATGACATCTTTATTTTTCACATCCACGAGAGATTCTTCCAGCCAATAATTCCTCAGGACATGCTGAAGTGTTTGGTTCTACTTCGCTCTAACCAATAGGTGTAAATTTATTCCTGATAAATTCTGGTCTGAATATTTCTCTTCTTGGTGGTACAATGACTGTCTTTCTCATTGTTACTGAAAGTTCAATATCTGGTGTAGTAATTATCATGTAATGCACGAAGATTTCCTGGTCATAGTCTGTGAAGCTAGTTCAAGCTAGCTTAGCCTTCAGTGCATGTCTCCACATGAAGTCAATTCACAATATGCACTATTTTTCAATGTTACTTATTCACACATCATGCGGTGTAGAGAAGTTTATGTCCACTTGGAAATCAGTGTTAATCAACATATTGCAAGGCTTCCCATCAATAAACTCTTGAACTTATAGAATGGTTTATTCACATAATGATTTTTTTTTACTTCATTTGTGGTAGATGCAATGTTCTCAGCTGAACTTTGCCCTATAATACCAGCTCATTCCTGTTTTCCAATGTCTGATAGTTCTTTGTTGTTTCTTTGATCTGGTTAAGATCAAAGACTCATCCTTAGGGTATTTTCTTCTTGATGTATTACCAGCTGTTGATTCCTTACAGTCTTGGTTGTAATGGCCATATTTACATCATTTATAATAATTACATATTTCTGATATCCACTATTAGAGGCTTTTGTCTGCAATTCTTCGCAGTATGTCCATTCAAGTTACACTTGAAACACCTAATATTCTGTAGTTTATTTTCTCTCTTCTGTGTAATTAGTTGTTTGATTAATCCTTTGTTTTTCTAGACTATCATAAGGAGAAATTAAATTTCAATACTACTTGATTTTATGATATCTTAACTTCTGAATGAGGCCTTTTGTAGTTTATCTGTGACTTTAATGGATTCAAGTTTCATCACCAACTGAAAATCTTCTTTTAAAGATAAACACCTGCTTTGCTTTAACCTAACCTATACATCCTTGCCACTTTTGGCATATATGAATTGGTCACGTGCCAGTGAATCCATCATTTCACGGGAAGCATCTGGTTAAGATAACTGAGTAAGCCTTTCCAAGTCTTTCACAAGTTCAGCTAAAGTCTGTTCTTTTCGCTGTACTTTGCTCCTTAACTTTGCTTTGGATATTTCCCTCTGGTATGCCTTTCCAAATCTGTTGGATAAAGCAATTATCAGCACTTGATAGTTGTTATGGCTCTCATCTGAAAGGTTGTTTAATGTCGTTAAGTCTGGTCCTTCCAAATGGCTGGCAACATAAATAACTCGTTGTTCACTATTTCACCTGTTCACTCTAGAAATTAGTATGGTCTGAGTCTGATATGCCTCCTATGGTACTTTTCCATCATAGTTCTTTGGTTTTTCGATTGGGTGATGTTGTAGAAATGGCCAGATAAACTGTGAAACTTGATTTGATATTGCCATGGCTGTAATATTCCAAGAAGGTTCTGCAACCAAAGTTAATACAGCAGAATGGTAACAGGGGTATAAAAAGTATGTTTTTCTATTCCATATATAATAGTAAATGGTGTTTTAGGTTGGAATTCTCGTGAAGATGCAAAAAGAGGTGTGGCTAGTTTGATCTTCGCATTTAACAACTCATTTTCCACGTGTGTCATTCTGTCATTGATGTTTATTTCTGCCTCAATGATCTTGCTATTATAATCATTTTAAAAATTATAGGTGCTATTTTGGACTTCACTTTTGTACTTCTTTACTTCTGTATTTACAACCTCTTTGAATTTCTTCCATTTTGTTATAATCCCTCTGTACATCTTCAATAGCTTCATTGATATTGTCTTCAATAAGATTTATTTTTGTTTTCATTTCATCTTTACATATTATTTTTCTTCCTTTTAATTCTTCTCTTAAATTCCTATCTCTCACCTCTTCGTCTTCTTTTAATTTTCAGTAATTTTTTTGTCTTCTTTTAATTTTTTTCTCTTTCCTCTTGATCTTTTTTTTTAAAACTCTCTTTTGTCTTCTTTTAACAGTTTCGATCTCACTTCTTATTCTTCTTGTCATCTTGAAATTTAGGTAAAGTTCTATTTCATTTTCCCCAAAATAATCCAACTTCTGACACCAGTGTTATAACCAGTATTCTATAGTTGGGTTAATTCTTTTGATTATTTGATAAAAAAGATGCAAAGTCTACCCCCACGTAACACTAGCGAATTAATATATTTCTTCAATAACGTTTGCTGCAAACTATGTTCACTAGTAGGCCCGACTTCACAAACAATTTCAGAATTTACGAAACTAATATACGCCTAACTCACAAATTAGCTCATCTGCAGAATTTCCTTGCTAATTAATCGATAGCTGGCACAACAAATACGCTGCTGACTAACTAACTAACTCGATCACTGACTAACAGCTGCAGTAACTCTTATTGTTTAACTCACTAGCTGACATACTGAACTATTAGACTCGTTCTGGAAATTGTATATTATTATTTGTTTTCTTCGTAATACAGGAAGTTCCAGATTCTACAGAATCTTTCATGAAATTTCTATATGTTGTGTAATATTTCTGTAATGACAAGCTCTTTCTAGCAAACAAACATCAAAATTAAAATATTAAAAACAAAGTTTACAACAGTATATCTACCATTCAATTTATACGCCTCTTCTTATGTTCTGACCACTGTTACTCTTAACACAATGTATCGAATCGTTGTCACCTTAGTAGCCTATGCGATCGTCTACATCTAATTAGTAATTAACTATTATTTTTAAAATATTCTTACAGGATACTAATTACTAACTAGTTTATATCATACGCTTCGGAAAATCCCAGGGTTAGTGGATCCAAAGCTCAATGGAAGAGATTTAGCAGGAGAAAAGTAGTTATAAGTTAATAATTAGCATCTAGTAATACGAAAAACAAATAATCATTATCAGACTCAAGTGGTCGATTGTATAGGCTACTAACTATGACAACGATCGCTAGCCGGTCACCACAACCTTATCGTAAATACAGAAGGTATTGAAAGTTGAATGCCATAACGACGCTCCTAAACAATTTACATCGTAATAATAATTCCATACGAAATCCGACTTCTCACCTTCCGGTAACGTCAGTTTTGGAGCATCTCTTGCCCATGCGTAAATGATTTGAGAACCTTCAGAACATACTGGAGCACGACGATATTGGGATCCCCGCCCGACTCCACCCATCTCACCACATTCCCAGACAGCTCGAGGAGTGTCACGTTCCCGATACCCCACGATGGTGCAACCAAACAGTAGGATATGGTGTGCAGTGTGCATGGTGGCATTAGGTTCGAACTCCACTGGAAAAGTTAAGCAATTACGCGAATATCGGAAGACAAACAAACAAACAATCTTTAGTTTTTTTTTAACGTAGTGTTTTCTTTTTATTTGTTATCATGATATTGCCTACATTTAGGGTTACTGATTTACGAATAAAAGTGTTTATACATGTTATCATGATATTGCGTACATTTAGGGTTACTGATTTATGAATAAAAGTGTTTATACATGTTATCATGATATTGCGTACATTTAGGGTTACTGATTTATGAATAAAAGTGTTTATACATGTTATCATGATATTGCCTACATTTAGGGTTACTGATTTATGAATAAAAGTGTTTATACATGTTATCATGATATTGCGTACATTTAGTGTTACTGATTTATGAATAAAATTGTTTATACATTTTATCATAAGTAATTTCGCTGAATACTTCATCGTTATAAGACGCTGCTTTAAAGCATTTTTTTCATCATTGAACAGAATTATTAGTAACATATTAATGGAATAATGCAATTAAATGCATCACTAACACGGCAACAACATTCCGCAATATCACGAGTAATTAAATCTTAATAGCATTACAGCTTTTTCAGTACTTGCGAAAGCTAGTTTACTGATAAAGATATCTTACAGTTTTTAATGAATTCTTTACAATCAACTGGATAAAGTGGCATCATGATTATTATTATATTTTTCAGGTATTCGGGATTACCTAATTAACAGTGTTATTTAAGTGCAAAGCTGCACAATAGCTCATGAGCACGACATCCTCTGCAGGCATCGAACCCGAAATTCAGAGGTATAAGCGTGCAAAGCTGCACAATAGCTCATGAGCACGATATCCTCTGCAGGCATCGAACCCGAAATTTAGAGCTATAAGCGTTCAAGATTACTGCTCAGCCACCAGTAGTTTTTCTTTTCTTTGATTAAAACATAACATATTCAAAAATAAACTTACCTATATAGCTACTAAAACTTCTGGGCATTTGGAAAGCCGTACAAAGATAGGAGTCTTTCTAAATGTAATAAATAAATAAATATATATATATATCATATCATATTTAAACTAAGAGCCATGTAAAATATGCACACTAATTCAATGTCAAAGGCTCGTAATGATAAAAAACCGAGTCTCGATACCCGTGGTGGGCACAGCACAGATAGCCCTTTGTGTGTAGCTTTGCACTTAACAACAAACAAGTAATGTTTGTGTATTTTATACTTCTTCTTCTTACCTGTTGTGAGTGTTATTTCCACCTATTTAAGTGAATTGTCATGGCACCAATTAATTCTTCTTCAGTTGCATTCAGTTGCCTATAGCAAATTAAACGTTAGTTGAATAGTTTTGAAGATGAAATCCTTTCCTTTTGGACTTGGTAGGTATTTAGGTTAATCATATATCTCATTCCCCGGAGGGGAATGAAATATAACCAGGGGCGGTCAGAAACACGTGTTTCTCTTCACCCCACTACATGAATGGGGATATGTGGCCGAGGCTTTTACGGTTTAGACATTTACATTGAAGATTTATCAGTAATATTTTTCGAAGCGGGTTTTAAAAGCGTTGAGGGAAAAGCTGCTTGGAGACGTGGCTAAGCAGATGAAATGATTAAAATAAAGTGTTATAAACCTTCAGACTTGCCGATGAGTTACTGGGGAACAGTGACGAAAGTCCAGTTTCGTTAGACTTCATGAACAACTTTTGATTTGATGATAAAATTAGTCAATATACCTTTCCCTGCACGAGCATGCTCTGGTCAGTCTAGAATTACTTACTTCTCTATTTATTAACACTCCTATAAATGAAACGGTCGACACTTTACTCCTCTATTTATTAACACTTCTATAAACGAAAGGGTCGACACTTTACTCCTCTATTTACTAACACTCCTATAAACGAAACGGTCGACACTTTACTCCTCTATTTATTAACACTTCAATAAACGAAACGGTCGACACTTTACTCCTCTATTTACTAACACTCCTATAAAGGAAACGGACGACACTTGCCTCTCCAAACTATTCTTTAATAATACCTTGATTAATGTTTTATTCAAACACCAGGTTAAATCAATGTTGGAGCTAATATAAATCCACACTTCATTATTTAACAAATTCCGTTGTGAACAGATTGTACTTGACCTAGTGGTGCTGGATGCGTGTTAGGTTTCGAATCCCGAATTTCAGCATTAACTGCTCCCCCAAGCTTACTGCTAAGCCAACAAAGGCTCCAGAGTACTGAAAATGGAATCACTGTTATCCCGAAACATTTATCAAACTTGTTTTTACCGTCGCTCCGGTGTTCTTGATTCTATTTTTGTTTTTGTCAAGGTCAGAAAATGGGAAAGATTTAGTTTGACTTGCGCCGTTTCACCAAGGACACTGTACGTCAACAGTAGTCTTCAGGAACCCCACACGTCAGGTTTCTTTTTCAGTATTACTGCTTTTGTTACTAGACTCTGACGAAACTGCTTCATTATATAAAAGTACAGGGTATAAATAAATAGATGACACTGAGTGCAGCAAATAGCGACACTCGAGAATCAATGATGTAAGTATAAAATCCTGTGGTCACTTCGAAGTACAGTCAGCTTGCTGCTGGAACGCTACCTGTTTAAAATTCACACACAGAACGGAGTCAGATCTTAATTTTTACTAATGAACGATTTTCAGGTGAATTCCTTCCTATTTCCTTCGCTGAAACAAGGGCGTAAAACTAGCTTTAGAAATTCAATGATGTCATTCATCATTACATTCTCACCAGGTTATAATAGATACATGTATTTCACGGTGGACTTACAACGCTAATATCCGGAGTTCGATTCCTCGTGGTCTAATCTGGCTTTTCTCCAAAAACAAAAACAAATTAGATAAATATAAATAATGTTTCGATTATCCGTTGCTTTGGAGTAGGAAGATTTTTAATAATTGGGGGGGGGGGGGAACAATGGATGGGTGTGGTACGGACTGTAGCACACACAATCTGCCGTAACTTATAGTTGTTATGTAACTTTGCCTTTGTTTGTAATTAATCACAAAGCTACACAATGGGCTATCTCTGCACTGCCCACCACGGGTATCGAAAGCCGGATTCTAGCGTTGTAAGTCCGCAGACGTACCGATTTGCCACTGGGGGGCTGTTATGTAGCTCCAGAAGCGCCACGCAAAAGCCTTTTTCTCTCTGAAACACTTTATATTTCAATATTGGGGGGGGGGGGCAAAATGTATTTAGGCCCCTCTCAGAAAATATTGGTGGGGCAACCCCCCTCTCCTCCTTTTACTAGTCCAAAGGTTTTAAAACACAACTTTTCCATTCGAGTTGCGAAACTAGAATCAATCAGTTTGGTGGAGAGCAGAAGATAATATCAAGCATTTCACATATTAAAAGCTAATACAGCAACAATCACATATCAATTGGCAAATCAGAGAATCGTCTGGAAACTTAGAATGACTATAAATCTGAATGTTCTTTAGAAAGAAAATATTCTAAAACATTGATTTACAGATAAAGGATTGTGAATAATTTCCTAAAGAGATGACAAAAAAAGAAACTTTTGAAAATGTGTATTTTTTAAATTAAAATTTTCATAAAAGTAAAATAAATCAATATGTTTAAAAGGAAAACCGAAAATTTGTTTGTTTCTTGTTTGTTTGAAGTTAAGCATAAAGCTACAAAATCGGCTATACCATGTGTATCGAAACCCGGTTTTTACCGTTGTAAAAAAACGAAAATGCATAAACAGATTGTTAAAATGGAACTTGATAAAAACAACAACAACAACAGCGTGTTCACATATATCGAACCCAGACGAAGTGGAAAGGCTTTCATAATGGATACTTATATTCGGAAAAATATCGAAACTTTTATTTATTTATACCTCACCTACAAATATTATATTCATAGTTCAACAGAGTTGTTTAAACATTTGTTTAACAAGAAGTAAAAGTTTAGAATGGTCTATTCTTTCATTGGGGGGGGGGGGTGTCTGTGGGCCAAACAACTCTGTTCAACTATGTATGTGTCAGCTGCCTAGTGTTGGCTAAAAATACGAAGAATTAAACTGTGGCGGAATGCTACAAGTTCTTCAAATACCTATAGAATGATTTATTTTTTGTGAGTGTAAAACACTTATAAACTCCATTTCTATTTTCGATACCTCACTATTATAAAGGTTTGGTTTGGTCTGAAGTTTCATTAGGTTTTCGTGTCCGGGGTCACTGATGAGGAGTGGAATTCTCCGAAACTAGTCTGGCCCACAGACACGCCCCCAATGAAAAAAATCAACCATTCCAAGCTTTTACATGTTGTTAAACAAATGTTTAAACAACTCTGTTCAACTATGTACGTGTCAGCTGCCCAGTATCGGCTAAAAATACGAAGAATTAATTTGTGGCGGAATGCTACAAGTTCTTCAA